ACTAATTGAAAGGGTGGGATATGAACAGTGCAGATAAAAATGGGGAGGGCAGTCAATGTGGGATGAAATGCAAGTCTCAAACTAAGAGCAAGCTTATGGGGAAAGGGGGGATGGAATGCTATTTGGAGTTACAATTTTAAGGATTAAAAATATATATAAACCAGAAAATTTAACTTTTCCTTGCTCCTGCTCCCACTCCCTCTGGAACTGCTAAATATATCACTGAAAGGATTTTGTTATATCTGGTTGAAAAGTTAAGTGAAAAAGAACTACGGATTCTGCCAGAAATCAAGTACTGTTCTGTGTTCTGGGCACTCTGCAATGCTTTCTCAACTATCTCAAAGTCTCATCATCCTGCCCAGGGTACTTCAGACCTACAGAACCCCCTATGTTTTGATTATGGGGATGGAAAGGGGTTCTGCAGTCCTAACTTACTTCTAGGAGGGACAAGGGAGAGACCGCACAGCCACTACTCGCACAACAGACTTTGCTAGCTTCTGTTTACAGTGGTCATCTGTCTCAGTAACTCACCTTGTGAGTAGATCTTATATTGCTTTTTCAAAATCAAAGTTTTCTCATTTTCTATACCAGAGTGTAAAAATGCCATCTCTGCCCCTCATTTGTCGTTTACAGATGGAAGTCTGAATCCACAAGACAGCAGCGCACCTGAATATGTTAAATCTTTTGTTTTGCTGATGGGCTACCCACTCAGGATTCTTGTGCTATATTTTATATATGTATTACATTTTAGGCACACTTCTATTTAGATTTAGACCATTCATTCAGCTCAGTGGACTAGCTTTCTTGTCATTACTGCAACACTGAGTCTGAGCACCATGTTCTTGGCGGCCCCAGGCGTCAGGCTGGTTTCTAGCATACTTCCTGTCCTAGGAAGACAACAGTACTATTCCATAGATACAACTCAGTAAGTGAGCACCATCATCCTAGGATAGGTAGTGTGCTACTGGCAGAAAGACAGGTGAGAGAACAAAAACAAAAAAAACAAAAAACAAAATGCAGCCATGACAACTAAGGAATGGCTGCGATTTTTTGTATTCCTATTTTTTTTTCTTCTTGCTGTTAAGCAGGATCATCTGTGCTTGTTTTGGTGTGCCTACTCCTCTGTTAGGACAGCTTTTGGACTTCCCTAGGTTACCGATTACCATCAAGTTGTGCCCCTCAATGGACGATAGAGCAAGCAACCTAAGGTTATACTAGGGTTACACATAAAGGAGAAATGGGCACTAGGCACATAGAAAACTAAAGGCCAGACTCTGTGAGGCTCCTCACACCTCACCACTAGCAGCAAGCTGTCCAAAAGAAGAACATATGGGGGGGGGGGGCTGTGTTCCTCAATGGAGTCTGAGAAAATAATTTTTTCAGAACCAAAAGGTGCGACTAGAAGCTCAGGTAGCACCTTTACAAATCTGAGAAAACAGATGACCGATAAGGAAAATCCCACAAAGCACTAACTGATCTGATCTTAAGAGGGAGGAAGAAACACTGTCCTTCAAACCACAAGCTCAAATGACAACTTGGCATATGCCTTGAAGAAAGCAAACATGAGACCCAAGATCTTCATGCAGTCATGAAATGAGGGCTTCCTCGGGTCCAAAGAACCAGGGCATGAAATCGGAAGGGCAGAAGTTTTTCCTTGAAGCAGAAGTATCTGGACAGGGCTATGTCTAAACCCAGGGGAGCTTAGTAGGGCTGAAGGGGAGGCGCACAAATTAATAATGCACTGATATGGCAGAAATACAAGAATAAGCAGGTAAGCATCCTGGATATACATTGTGGTTAGAAAATCTCCTGGGAGAAGTGATGCAATAACAAACATGGCAGTTTCCTTGTGGGAACCTTAAAAAGGTTTGAGTAAAAGCCTTGAAAGAGTTCTTGTTGGTATGAGGTACTGGCCCCTTGAGACAAGAACTTCTGCAGCAAACCGGTCGGCATATCATAATGCAGAGAGGCACGTTTGTAAGCATGAAGTGGGGAGGAAGAAGAGTATAAAATTTGAATTTGTAACCCCTGGAAATGGACTAGCCTTGGATGGTTTGGAGGGTCATGTCTTTTTATAAAAGTATATTCTTGCCTTAGATTTAGGACTTCAAGGACAGAGAAGGACAAAAGGAATCTTCTGGTGGAGACACAAGCTGCTTTTTTTCTGGGGTAGAGGAGTATGCTTATCCACTTGTAATTTTCCTAATGCACTTACCCAAGGAGGTACCAGACAGGCGTTAGCCTTCAAAAGGGCAACAGCACAAGGTGCTTCTTGCATTCATTGCTGCTTAGCTTACCAGCATTTAAGCCAAAGAATCCTGTGGCATGTGGATGGAGAGAAGATTCATCCTGAAAGATCTGACCAAGTGTGTTCACCAAGCCATTCCCACAGTAGCGCAAAGCAAAAGGTTGGTAAAAGGCCAACAGACTGTTGATTGAGGCATCCCTTAGATGAAACTAGGATCTCAGGCCATGCATTTAGTACAGAGAGCATTGGTCTGACAGAATGTCATAGAAGCAACTACAGGATGAACGGTGGTGCACACCAAAGAAAAAAAAAAAAAAAAAAAAAAAAGCTGTAAAGAGGGCCTCTACCAGATCCTTAATTACAGAAGTATCCCCTACTGGGGCTGTGAGGGTCTTGTTAAAAAACAAGGATGACAGGATCTACCACAGGAATGGCCTACTTTTGTAGGAAACTTTCCTCAATACTGAGCAAATTGTTTTGGAGAAATAAAAACCTTTTCCAGATTATGCAGTCCTCAAACTGGCTCTACCAATAATTGGAATATAAAAGTCATAGCTCATTTAGCCAGTTTAAAAGGTACATCATCCAGGAAATCCTGGGGTGCACAGATTCTGGCTGCTCCAGCCCTAAGCAGGAGTGTACATTATCAATAACGGAAGCTATTGTATCCTTTCATGAAATCTTACCTACGGGCATTTCACCCAGATCCAATTCCCCAGAAGGGAAGGGATCAGTCTCAGCTATCATCGTATCCATGGGCTCAAAGGCAAAGTGAAACACTGATTCAGGAGGTAAAGTTAAGGGGGAACTAATGCAACTCCTGCCATCTATGGCCAGGATAAGGCCTGAAATTCTGCCTAGGACTGCTGACTTTGTGGCAGAAAATTCCTCCGTGAATAGGAAACAGGAAGCTTAGATGATAATTGGGGCAGCAGAATGGCCAGAGGAAGGCAGGGAGTCAGATTGGAGGCAGCCAAAGTAAAAGGTACTAAGGCTCTAAGTGGTCTACACCTTCATTTAAGCTAGGTGCTGAGCATAAGCTAGCGAGTTCATTTGACTCTTTTCCCTTACACTTGTGATCTACCATGCTTGCCAGAGAAATACGCATGATCTCTGCTGTGGAGAGGGATGGGAATGTCTCAGTGCCAAGTATGTGTAGGCTTGCAGTGAACTCGAGTACTGCAGAGGAACTGCTATACTGTGAAAATGGAGGAGAACCGGGAGCGGTTACTGGTCGAAAATTACATCCAGAAAGGGGCAGGGTGCACAGCCACAGTAAACCAAAGGAGAGTGAAGTAGCACAGGCACACTAGGCTGCACAATGGAAAGGTCATGCAGGTGCAGTAGCTCTGGGCACAAACACACCAACAAAAGACATGATGCCAACATTTCAAATGAAACCAATGTTCCCGACTCTTTTGTGACCGCCAAAAGAGTGGTTGCTGGTCCCCACACACCCCAAAGGGGCTTAGGAGATAAAAAGGCACCAAGGGTAGGAATGTTTAAAGGGCTTCCACCATGTAATCACCACTGTAGTTTCTGCAGGCAGACCTAACAGGGGCTCTGCTGCTATCAGACCACAGCCCTGGACCTGTAAAGCACCCAGCCACTAACACCATACATTGCACTGTGTGCCAAGGGGAGTGCCTAAAGTGAGAACCAGTGTGTTAGCAACATTACAGGTCAGCATCCCTCCTTCATTCTGGTGGGGTCTGAATATGGTCCCTCAAGGAACTGCTGAAGAGACAACCGATCCAAAAGCTGCAGTAGGAGCTGCAATGGCTATGATGTAGCAGGAATATTGATAGAAGATCAATCTCAAAGAGAGATAAACCTCCATAGGAGAAAGGTAAACTTCTCTTACCTAAGGATACTAGCAAACACCGAAATTATCTGGGAGTGGGAGAGGTTGAATAGGGAGATGTCTTTGCAGCCTTTTTTTTTCCCAGGGTGCCATCACCTAAAGGTAACTGCATATAACCCAGTGGTAATGATTACAGATTCTGTGTCCCATACTTTACAACTAAGAAATACACTTTCCATGCTGAAAGATAAATCTTACGGGAAGAAGAAGAATTAGTAGCTTTTAGCATGGCATGATTCCAAGAGAATCCAAAATGCCCTCTCTCTCTCTCTCTATCTAGGGATTCAACAGCCAGGCTGCCAAAGCTAACTGAGCTGCAGGGTAGAAAATCTGTCCTTGAGATAACAGATGTGGCCAATTTGGTGGAAGACACAGGGTGTCAACTGACAAATGGGGTACCACAGTTTTCCAGCCCAATCTGGAGCTATAAGAATGCCTGGAATGCTTTTGGCCTTAATCCATTAACCACTTACCTACAGGGCACTTTTACCCCCTTCCTGCCCAGGCCAATTTTCAGCTTTCAGCGCTGTCAAAATTTGAATGACAATTGCGCGGTCATGCAACACTGTACCCATATGAAATTTTTATAATGTTTTTGAGACAGATAGAGCTTTCTTTTGGTGGTATTCAATCACCTCTGGGTTTTTTATTTTTGCTAAACAAACCAAAAAATCTGAAAATAAAAAAAAAAAAAAACGTTTCTTAGTTTTTGTTATAAAATTTTGTAAATAAGTGATTTTTCTCCTTCACTGATGTGCGCTAATGAGGCTGCAGTGATGGCCACTGATAGGTGGCACTGATGAGGAGGCACTGGTAGGTGGCATGATGGGCATTGACAGGCATCACTGATGGGCACTGAAAGGCAGCACTCATATGGCACTGAGTAGCACTGATAGGCGGCACTGATGCGCACTGATAGGTAGCACGGATTGGCAGCACTGACTGGCACTGCTGGGTGACACTGAAAGGCAGCTCAGATGGGCACTGATATGTGGCATTGATGTGCACTGGTAGGCAATGATATGTGGCATTAGCGTGGCACTGATATGTGGCACTGCTCATCAGGGCACACTGATCATCAGTGCCCTGATGAGCAGTGTACATGTTTCTCTCTGGGGGATGCCGATTACTGGCAGCGTGACAGCTCGTGAGGAGCGAAATGCCGATAACCGGCATTTCCCTATTTACATGTGATCAGCTGTGACTGGACACCGCTGATCTCATGACTGAGCCGAAATCTTCGGCTCTTTCCACTGATCGGTGATCCGCTGTGTCCAAGGGACAGTGCAACACTGATCGGCACACTGCGTGCCCCCGTTGCCGCGTATGCGTGGTTAGAGTGGGAGGACGTCATATAACGTACTCCCAGAATGAGAGAACCGCCTTGTGCCTGTCATTACCTTACATGGCGGGCAGGAGGCAGCTGAAGAGGTAAACATTTTAGAGGAGGAAAACCGTAGATAAAGGTATACTGATCCCACAGTGCCACATTCATGGTCAGGTTCTGTGCCCCAGAAACTAATCTTTCCAGCTTGAACCAAGATGTTAGTAATTGCAAAACCGGCATCCCCACCGCAGACATTTGTCCCTGAACACCCCAGAATGGAGAAACTAGCCAAGTTCAGATATGGTCTGCGAAGAAAATCTGCCTACCAGTTTTCCGCCCAGGGAATGTGCACGGTAGATATTGCTGTCTGCCCAGAACAGAATGAATTGTACTTAAATTAAATGTAGCATTCCAACTTAACCAAGGCCGGATGACCGTTCAAAAGGAAAGTCCAGTGAAGTAATGAAACCAACAGACCAATTGCTTGTTAACTCCAAAATACTGATTAGAAGTGTTGATTACTATGGAGACCAACAACCCAGAACAGAGAGTGGGTGCAAAACTCTGCCACAAAAAATAAGACTAGGGTCTGTCATGGCAATCATTTTTAAGGGAAGGAAAAAAAAAAATCTGGCTGCTGACAATGTCAAGAAGAGAAGCCAACATGACAGAAGCATCTTGGTTCTTTGGTAAAACCTAATCACCAAGTCAAGAAACCAACTAGGTTTATCCAATGCAGCGAGAATGTTCCGTTGAAGGTACTTAAGTGGACTTGAGGAAATGGAACTGCTTAAAAAAGGTGGATACCACCAATACAGTTACCCCGCATGCAGCTCTGTAGGTGATCTGAAACTGGGACTGAAGTTGCAGAATCTGACCCTGAAGTTATGTCAACTTCTCCCAGAAGACCTTGGTCTCTTATCCAGAAGAGAATGCACAAGTACTCCAAGCAATGAGAGGTAAATAGAGAGGACTTTTTTCATGTTAAGGATTCATTTGAATCCCTCCAATGTCAAAAACATGAAAGACACATTCAAGTGCAAACCAGGGAAGGCCTGCAGGCAAATCTTTCAGGATTGTCCAGGCATGTGAGGGTAGACCATCATACAGAGGTGGATTTACCCCATTTGTTTACAAAAAAAAACAAAACAAGCAAACACATCCAAGGGGAAGACATGTCAGTGTATATATGAACTGACACTTTACCTTTTTTTCCATGCCTGAAATAAGTAACAATTCACCCATCACGCTTTTAATAATTTGTTTCAAGTGATGAACCGAAAATACCATCTGCCCAAAAATGTAGCCAGTTTAATGCAACACTCATCTACTCAGTGCAAAGTATAAGCAGCTGCCTTGTCCCTTTTTAGGGATTTTAACCTGTCAGCAAAAGTCTGGGAAAGATGTGCAGAGGGGAAGCATGGGTTGAAAGACAGATCCCACCGAGTAGATAGATTGAGAATCTGCTTCCAACTTCTTGCAAGCAGGGTCCTTAAAGGACAGAGCGTATTCTATGTGAATGGCTAGAACACTGTTAACATGGAATAAGGAATGATGAGAAAATACATTTGTAGAAAGTTTTGGTGACTAAGAACCAAGCCAAGGCACCAAGTCAAGGAAAGGATGAATTTCTCCAATTTAGAAACAACAACCTTATTGTAAAATAATATAGTTTGCTTTTATTGGTGAAACAGTTGCTGAATGAAATTCATCTGGCACAATCTCCTCCTGCAAAAGATGCAGGGGGACTCCAACATATGTCCAACATGGAATCTTCTAGAATCACAAATATTAGATAGCTTTAAGTCATATTATGCTGGGAAAGGTGGAGATGAACGTTTTTAATCTTCTGTGATTAGGAAGAGCAACAAATTGCACTAACTGAGACATAAATCTTTGCATAACAGTAAACACTTCCACCCAACATGAAAAGGGGTGTTGGGGGAATGTCAGAAATGGCCTCCAGCACAGGCTGATCTGACTGGGAACTGTGCGAAATGCAGAAGGCACAATCCTTTCATGCACCAAGCACAACAGGCCCTGAGTAAGTGGGATACCTACCCTAGTAATGCAACCTCCTTTCTGTTTGCAAGCTTTAGAAGAATGTGGTACCTTTACTACAAGCTACCAAACTCCCCCAAAAATACTTATGACCAGCAGAGGTTAGGGAGTACCAGGAAGAATACTAGCCTATGAAGAGAGACCCGTGTCACTACTGGCAGAGCATCAGATGCACGAGGATCGTGTCTGTTACTCACACTTGCTTTGCCCATGATAACATGGCTGTTTGAAGCTCTAGAGGATATTGCTACTGTGTGACAGACTAAAGCCTAAGATTTTCAGCACATAGCTTGCCTGCTGTTTCAAGTGAGAAACAAACATAGGAGAAGCCACTGCTCCTAAAAGTGTTGTATCATCAAAACCAAAAAGGAAAAAGAAATGTATACTCCTCTCCTCTCAATCAGGAAAAAAACTAGGGTTTCCCAGTCATAAAAACAAACCTATCTAATTTTATAACCCAGTACAGAGAAAGGGAGAGATCCTAACCTCCCTCACGAGAGCTTAGCCAGATACGCAAACCAGAAGCTTTCATTCCCACCCGTCAGCCTATGACTGAATAAAAAGGAGAGTTGCCCATTAACGAATATAAACCTACATAAACATATAAGTACAGAAAAGAGGCGAAACCTTAAACCCCCTCACAGGAGCTCAGCCAGACACCGCCTCATGGAAAATAAAGAGGAAAAATATTCATCACAGCATATAACCTGCTAGACACTCACAAAGTAAGTCTTTAGAAACAGGGTCAGGAGAAATATTACAGGTGGCTCCGACAAGGAATCCCCAGATAAACTGTCCTTACCTGAAAGGTGGAGTCCTGTGCTAACTGGAACACAGAAGAAGGATTGTCTATGCAGGCTGCAGGACCATCACAGAAAGAATACCTGTATACTTTCTGAAATGGGAAAATCTGTACTCTTTGGCTAAAAGGTGAGACTTCCAGGAATTCCAATATATAAATTCAATTTATAGCTTCAAGTGGGCTGGCCTATAGTTTTCTATGTGCCTAGTGTACAATTCTCCAGTAGATGGCAGTATACTTCAAGTTCCTTATTATCATCTTGCTGTGTCCCTCAAAGCACAATAGAGAAATTAAATTTTGTTCTTGGTTTAGATACATTCTAAACATTATGAAGATAGGGAGCAATCTAAGACCCTAATAATAGAAGTCCGATTGTGGCACGTGGTATTGGTCTCTGATGCCTACACACTGCAAAGTGTGCACAGAGTTAATAGCTCAAGAAGACAATGTGAAAGTGTTTGCTTTGCCTGATCCATTTGAACCTCTCGCCACAGTGTGAGAATCACAGATTCTGGATGTACTTCAGCCTCCTGCACCTGTACGTGTACACTCTAATTGAAGATAGAAAATTCCATGGAAGAAGAAAAGCTATACAAAAGCCATGCGGACAAAAATACAATGAAACATAGTATGCAGATCTTTAGAAAAATAGGAAATACTACTGTGCTTGGAGAATAGGTTGCATATATAAGATGCATCAACAAAGCTAAAGAACATTTTTAACTACAGCTATTAAGACAAAGTCTATGTGTAGATCAAAAGTGGTTGTGTAGCCAAGGTTAAACATACAGTGCCTTGAAAAAGTATTCATATACCTCTTGAAATGTTCCACATATTGTCATGTTACAACCAAAAAAGTAAATGTATTTTATTGGGATTTGATGTGCCAGATGAACAGAAAGTGGCAAATAATTGTGAAATTGATAGGAAAATGATAAACGATTTTCAAAATTTGTTTACAAATAAATATCTGAAAAGTATGGCATGCATTTGTATTCAGCCCCCTTTACTCTGTACCCCTAACTAAAATCTAGTGGAACCAATCGCCTTCAAAAGTTACCTTATTAGAAAGTAGAGTCCACCTGTGTATAAATACAGCTTTCCTGTGAAGCCCTCAGAGGTTTGTTAGAGAACATTAGTGAACAAACAGCATCATAAAGGCCAAGGAACACACCAGACAGGTCAGGGATAAAGTGTGGAGAAGTTTAAACCAGGGTTAGGTTATAAAAAAATATCCCAAGCTTTGAACATCTCGTGGAGCACTGTTCAATCCATCATCTGAAAATGGAAAGTGTATGGCACAACTGCAAACCTACCAAGACATGGCTGTCCAGCTAAACTGACAGGCCGGGCAAGGAGAGCATTAATCAGAGCAGCCGCCAAGAGGCCCATAGTAACTCTGGAGGAGCTGCAGAGAATCACAGGTTAGGTGGGAGAATCTGTTCACAGGACAACTTTTAGTTGTGCAATCCACAAATCTGGCCTTTATGGAAGAGTGGCAAGAAAAAAGCCATTGTTGAAAGAAAGTCATAAGAAATCCCATTTGCAAGAAGCTATTTGGGGGACACAGCAAACGTGGAAAGAAGGTGTTCTGGTCAGATGAGACTAAAATTGAATGTTTTGGCTTAAACACAAAACACTGTGTGGCAGAAAACGAACACTGCACATCACCCTGAAAACACCATCCCCACCGTGACACATGGTGGTGGCAACATCATGTTTTGGGGATGCTTTTCTTCAGCAGGGACAGGGAAGCTGGTTGGAGTTGATGGGAAGATGGATGGAGCCAAATACAGGGCAATCTGAGAAGAAAACCTGTAAGAGTTTACAGAAGACTTGAGACTGGGGCGAAGGTCCACCTTCCAGCAGGACAAATGACCATAAACAAAAAGCCAGAGCTACACTCGAATGGTTTAGATCAAAGCATATTATTATTCTTATACAGTATTTATATAGCGCCAAAGGGTATGCTCAGCGCTGTACAGTAGCAAGGGGGACAGAACATGAGACAAGACAGTAACAATACAATACAATACACAAGGGGTTCG